GGTGGGGTGCCATTGTGTTTGATTTATTACATGTGCAATATCTTAGCAAATTTAAAGAGGCTCTTATTTTATATTCTAGCTTCTCAATGTTGGTAATGTGAGTTTCTAATTCATACAAAACTACAGATTTAGTATTTTGACTTCACATACATCTAACTGAACCAGTGCTGCATTCAACATACCACATGACACACAAAAATCGATGTTTATCTGTATTTTTTAATATTTGCTTTTAAATTAAGAAATTGAGTAATATATAGTACTAAAATTTCAATTATAATCTATAGTTTGATACCAAAGTTATTGACATAAATTTATGAAATGGTAGTTTAATAAAATTTTGAATGAGAGTCAACAAACAAGATGATATGACCTTTCACCCATGACCTGTCTCAAATAGGTTAACTCACCTGATCTTTTTCCTCTTGTGTACCGCGTAGGATGAGAACTTGTTGGTACAGCTCATCTCTCTCCACCTCCACATGAACTAGCTTATTCTGTAGTTCACTAAGTGCATCTCGCTGCATGTTACTACATAAAAACAAAGTAAAGAATTTGTACACCTTCAATCCCCTACCATTTCATAGGCTAAAAGTATGGCAATCAAACAAAAATTAAAAATATACTTAGAAAAATTTATACATTATTTTATTGGCTTTGCAATCAATTACTTTTTATTAGCTTTGTAATAATCAATTACCTATATTTTATAAAACATTTATAAGTGAATTTTGGTCAAAGGTAGTAACCTTGTAATTAGTTATTAGAAGGTGCACAGAAAATATAACAAGTTTTTTAGCCATTTCATATCCAAGCACTAATGGTAATTCTTTTTTGGTTATTGATAAAATGCACTGGAAATTATGAGTGGATTATTCATTTCCTAATTGATGGTTAATACCCATTTAGTGTAAACACTGCTTTGTTAGATTTATAATTAAAAATTACACTTTTAAATGTTTATAGTTTATTCTTTAAGCTTTGTACCTGGTGGTTACTACACAGGAAATGCTAGCCTTGTAACATTGTTAACATTAAACCAGCTTCAGCATTCCTTTAATATTTCTTTTAAATAGTCCCTAATGTTAGTGTGCATTGATATTATTATAACTAATAATGCTGGCAGAAACAGCACGTTGTGGATCAGATCAACAATCCAGGACCACCCATTCCACTTAAAAACAAATGCCCAAGCTGCATCCTTTCCTTGATTGCAAGGGATTTCAAGAGAGAGAGAGAGAAAGAACTAATGTAATCTATTACTGTTAAAACACAGAAAACTTCTTGTTCTATTATGGGTACTTGTTGATTATGACTACACTTCTTTTGCCACTGTATACATAAATAAAAAGTAAGGATACTGTTAGGACTAGCTGTCATCATCCATTGTTTTTCATATATTAATTCTGACAACAAGTACTTTGGATGATTTTTTAAGATGTTACTATGTGGTATGTTTCCAGCTATTTCAGTTAGTATCTTCTTAATGTTTGATATATTATATTATGCCATGAAAATCAAAACATTTTCAAAAATGAAATTTAATTATTATACTAGATTGTGTTGTGCTGTTATATAAATGTATATTTTATTGTACTAAGGCAATGGATGTTACATACTGAAAAAAGAAGTGCTTAAGAGATAATCAAATCAATAGGCAGAAATGGGCATTTGACCACAAACAACAGTAATGAGTAACAAATGAGTAATGTTGGAGAAAGATGCTCTGTATAGATGTATCCATATTAAAATTGTTTGGAAACAAACAACAATAGTTAGTTCAATGTTGAAGAGAACAATGATATCAAGGTCAATGTACAACATTTGCAGTGAGGTTTTTTGTGGTACCAACAAAGTGTGGGCTGCATTTCAGCCAATGGTGTTCAAGATATACAGAAATTGATGACACCATGACTGCTGACAGGTACAAGCATGTTCTTATCCAGCAAATGTGGTGAAAGATACCTGGGAGGTAAAAAAAGAGGCTGATAGTACTCCTGCAATCATAACTTGATCTGCACAAAGTCCTGATATGAAAATTAATTACAGCTATATGGACTTATAGGGAAAATGAGAGTCAAATAGCAAAAAAAAAAAGAAAAAAAAAGAAAAACACTGGACTGAATTATGTGAGTAATATAGGATATTAGATACAGCATTTTACAGTTATACACTAATAAACTTATGGTAGCATAACACAGAGTATTGCTCTTTTTAAAGCAAATACATAATACAGGGTAATCCAAAGAGAGATATTCCACTGATTTCTTATGGGAAGAATACAGTACACGAAAGATGCAAACATACATCACTGAAATAGAACATTGTCAGTTTTAAGCTTCCACATATCTTTCAGCAACCATAACTGTATAATATTCTTCCCATAAGAAATCAGTGGAGTATCTCTCATTGAATCACCATGCACTAGTGTATTGTTAAACTTATTTGCTTGTCTTCTGTATTTTCTGTAATAATGTATGATACTAATAACAAACTTACCAATTGGTTGCAATTACTCGTTGTTTGTGACCCCTGTAGTGTATGACCTGTGCTTTCCATAATTATTTCAAATACTGTATAAACATGTAGATTTTGTTCAGTTCCATAAATATCCAATGTTACGGATTGAATTATATTACTAGAATGAACCCAAATCTTGAGGACAAGCAAGTTCTAAAAAAAAACATGAAACTAAAAAGTTTATATAAATCAATACTGTATGTTGCCTGCCAACTTACAACTGATTATGAAGGTCTTGCATCACTTGCGATTCTTGTTCAGTCACTGCCAATTTTTGCTGCAGCTCTTCTCTGTGCTTAGCAAATTCTTTTTGAAGTCTATCCACTTCTGCCTTTAGCTGAACCACTTGAGCATCTCGATCAGAAACTGTAGCCTGTTGTTCCTGCTTCTCCTTTATAAGTTGCTCTTGGGTTTTCTCTAACTTAGCACGGGCTTCTTTGGCTTCTTGATACTGATTATACATCTAAATTTAAAACAATCACAAGCTTTAACAAAGTATGAGTTTAGCATTAGATTTTGTAAATGTTCCACATAGATGAAATATTTTTTAAACAAATTACAGTTGTCATAACATAACCCACCCTACACCTCAGTGATATGATGAGCTTCCTTGATATTTAACTGGTTAATAGGTTTATCTTGGGCAGAAGAAGCAAGATAAATCATAAATCCTCAAGACTTTAATACCTACAGATACTTTTCTAGGTATATTTGAGATACAGAAATATTCTTAAGTTTAAATCTCTTAAGTTCAATACAACCCTGGGATACTGCTTTATAATACATGTACACCAAAATAAAAAAAGGCATGCGAGAACCACCATCAAACAAACAAGAATAATAAATACATATAAATAAAACTGAAGATCAGGATGAAATAACAGAAACAACACATGCAAAAACTATCAATTCTACCAACCTTTGAAATCAATATAAAATTACCTTTTCCTTCTCACACATGACTTGTTTTATCTCTTTTTGTAGCTGTTGAACTTTGACTTCTAGATTCTTGGTAGTGTCAGAGGCTTCTGCCCGTAGGCCTTCTAGAGTAAGTTGTAATTCTTGCAACTTAGCTTGCGAGTGTGTGAGCTGAGATTCACTTTTTTCAAGCTTATGGCGTAGGTCTTGTATCACTGCTTCCTTTTCAGTCATTAGCTGTTCTTGTCTGGATAGTGCTTTAGACAGGATGGACACTTTATCTTGTGTTTCCTGTAGCTCTTTTTGCTGACAGGTATTAAACATTTTTCAGTGATCAAAAAAGGAAATATTAAATAGGGGTAATTATTTATAACATTTTGAATGGCTCTTATACAAGTAAATAATCAAATTTGTATATTAAATCCAAAGTAAAGTATCTTAAGTAACAATAATTACATTTTGATGCTATACAAAATAATAGCTTATATAAATCTTTTAAAACAGAAGAATATGTTTTAATCATGATTAACTTGCAATTGTAAACACATCTATTTTTAAGGGGCAGAAACAGGTAAACTAGACTCATAGGTAAACTTGAGAGATCATTTCTCAAATTTTGCAATAAAGAAAGCATACTAATAATAAAAATGTACATATAACAGATATTATAATTATATGGATTTAATAACATAAAAAAAGACTTAACTACGATTTGAGATTTCCTAATACTCACCTGATGTTGATATAAAAAAGACTGTAACTACGATTTGAGATTTCCTAATACTCACCTGATGTTGATATAAAAAGAGACTAACTACGATTTGAGATTTCCTAATACTCACCTGATGTTGATATAAAAAAGACTGTAACTACGATTTGAGATTTCCTAATACTCACCTGATGTTGCAACTTGGCTTTCAGTTCCTTAACTACTTCTTTGTGTTTATCATTAATCTTTTCAAATTCCTGTTTATTTTGGTCATGGAGGCTATTAACAGTGTCCATCAGTTTCTCTACTTCTTGTGTACGACTTCTCAGCTGGGACTGAAGTTCCTCTACTTGTCTAAAAAGATTGCCAAATGTCAAGTGAATTTGAGAAGTCTAACCTTTTCTCATAATCCCAAAACAGGAGAGTATTTACAGATTTAGCATCTTTTCTATATATAAAGCTATGGATATAAAGTGACAAGTATTAGTAGAATAGGATAAATTTTCAATGCTGAATTATATGTGTATAAATCTGCAAAGCTATTTGATCTTTTCTTTTACTGCCTTACCTTATAATTTAATTACATCAGGATAACTGTCTATAACTTTTCACCCATAATTGTACTGAAAATTAGCATAAGACTACATTTCATTCATGTTTATGTTAATTTTTCAAACTATTTCAGATTGATACAGGCTACAACTAACCAACAATTTCAAGTGGAATACACTTTTAAAATATGACAAATAAATTAAATATAAAAAAAGTATTATAAATTATTTACCCCTATCTGAGAGTGAGTATTGTTGCCACTTCTCTGTGTGGGTGTATTTGAACAGTATAACTCAACAAGTTTTCATACGATTTGGATCAAATGTTAGAAAAAAGTTCAATGTCTCCCAAAGACTAGTTGATTAACTTTTGGTGAAAGGTCACACTTAAGGATTTTGAAAAACAATCCAACTCAAAAACAAACTGAGATATAAAAGTAGATCTTGGCACCTAGACCTATATTTTTGAAGGTGTGGAATTATTTGGTGTATATCTTAAGTTGGTTTCCATCAAAACATTGCCGGACATAGGTTGAACTCTCCGAGCTCCTTTCTAGTTAACTTTTATATTTAGAGAACAAATAGGTGACGAACCAAATGAGGTGCACTCCTGATTACATCATACAACTGATTTTTTTGCATAAATGTACTGTGCTATTTATTTGAGAAATTTTCACTAACTTTTCTTTTTCCCTGATTTCCTCATTGATCTGGCTTAGCTGATCTGAGTTATCTCCTGATGAGAGCATCAGATCTGAAACTTGGCCTTCTAGTTTTGCTTTTTGTCGAGAAAGTTCCTGCCCTCGTCCTTCACTAACGCGTAGCTTCTGTTCAGCATCTATGACAATTAGGATTAGTATGAATGTTATACAGTGTTTCTATATTTCTATTCCATAAACTGGGTCACAAAGATACATTATACTTTATATTATAATATTCTCCTTAAAACTTATACTAATTGAAAAATTTCAACCCAGATCAAGATGCTTTATGAATAATAAGTATAAAGTTCTAATATTAATGGAAATAAAATACTTCTTAACATTAATTTTTCATATTAACCTTCAACAGATCAACATGTGGTTAGTTGTAGACTATTTTTAAATATATATAGTTAGTTTTAAACAACCTGAATATTTTCCATCCAGGTCAACAATCCTGCATGAATGTTATTAATCTCAAGTATAAAATGGAAAGATTAACGGCATATGTAGCAATTTTATCAAATATCTTTTACAAAATTCTTCTCTTCTTTCTATCTGTATGACTAAAGGACAAATTAAATAATAGTGATTATGAATAAGTTTAGAAGAGCATGCTCATTTCACTGTACTCTTTCAATAACAATTGTACAGAAATAAATATTCACTGTATTAGCTAAAACAACCTATAAATAAACTGTGAGCTCATCCTCATTTTATAGTAGAGAAAATGAAATAAAAGGTGACCTATGCAGAAAATGATGATTCTAAAAATGTCTTATCTGCCTTAACTAAAAAAAAAGATAATTTTAATATGTCAAAAAAGTAGTGTCTTAAAACAATGATT